GTTCTTATATACGTTGGTATTGTTTATACAGTGTACAATGATATTGTTTGTTCTTATATACGTTGGTATTGTTTATACAGTGTACAATGATATTGTTTGTTCAAAATACGTTGGTATTGTTTATACAGTGTACAATGATATTGTTTGTTCAAAATACGTTGGTATTGTTTATACAGTGTACAATGATATTGTTTGTTCAAAATACGTTGGTATTGTTTGTTCAAAATACATTGATATTGTTTATACAGTGTACAATGATATTGTTTGTTCAAAATACATTGATATTGTTTATACAGTGTACAATGATATTGTTTGTTCAAAATACATTGATATTGTTTATACAGTGTACAATGATATTGTTTGTTCTTATATACGTTGGTATTGTTTATACAGTGTACAGTGATATTGTTTGCTTTACATGCATTGATATTGTTTATACAGTGTACAATGATATTGTTTGTTTTACATACATATGGAATGATCACTTTATACGTTAACAGTGAGTTTGAGGTAATTTTCCATCAAGATTAAGTGATTTTATTTATCAATAAAAGTAATATTCTTGTAACAACACAGTAATTCCGTTTTGATCACACTTTAAAGTCTCAACTGAATGACAGACGCTAAATAACATATGGTAACCTGTTTCAATATTTACTAATGGGTTTGGAGTTTACACTTTGGAAATATTCGTTCTCATTATCGAACCACCTGGTAAGCTTCTAATCATGATTGGTATGCATTTTATATCTATTAAGTTTCTAAAATAAAATTTTGTATTGTGGTTTAACTTTTCAGTGAATTTGTGATATTTTGTTCATGTCTTCGTTTCCACGTATTTGTCTCTTATTAGCAATTGTTTACAGCACTGAACTGACTTACTAAATAACTAACTCATTTGTATTAATTTTTTGTAAAATCTTCAACATAAGCTCGTGTATATGTTTATTTGTCATTCAACAGAGGAAATATTATTGAAATGTTCATTTAAAGATAATGTTTTCCCAGTTTATTTTTGTTAGTGTATTTGACACCGTGTGGCACTACGATAGATGTTTGGTACAAGCCTGTTTAACCTGAAAAGTAGTTGACTTGGAGAAGTTTTGTTTCCATATATTATCTTCAGTCAAGAAAATCACTCTTTGTACATACGTTAATCTGGAAATAGAAACCAGTTTAATTTCCCATTCTACGCTGTTGTCAGCCAGTTGCACCTATCGACTCCTGAAGTAGCAAGTGACGTCAAAACGACATATAATGGAGGCCACCAGAACATTTCCAGTGTTGGTAGTATTAGCAAGTTTAATTCTCTCTCTCTTTGTACATATGTTAATCTGGAAATAGAAACCAGTTTACTTTCCCACTCTACGCTGTTGTCAGCCAGTTGCACTTATCGACTCCTGAAGTAGCAAGTGACGTCAAAACGACATATAATGGAGGCCACCAGAACATTTCCAGTGTTGGTAGTATTGGCAAGTTTAATTCTCTCTCTTTGTACATATGTTAATCTGGAAATAGAAACCAGTTTACTTTCCCATTCTACACTGTTGTCAGTCAGTTGTGCCTGTCGACTCCTGAAGTAGCAAGTGACGTCAAAACGACATATAATGGAGGCCACCAGAACATTTCCGGTGTTGGTAGTATTAGCAAGTTTAATTGAACACCCACCTTGTTCAGGTAAGCTCGAAGCAGCCTTATTTAACTTATAATTTAACATAGAATCGTCGAGGTGTTCTTTACTACTTGGTGACATATTCACTGTCTTCGAAAATTTATTTTCGTATTTGACTCTGACTAATACTTTTAGTTTATTGTACAAGTAGGGATTATATAAGTTTTATAGTCCAGCTAGAAGTTTCAAATATTTCTTCACATCTTTCACAAAAACTCCAAATATCCAATCTTTTGGTTTTCCTGAGAATACTAAGTTGTACAAAGGAAATTTTATTACCCATGCCCATTCCTACCTTGTTTCCTCATTTTTTAGTGCATTCATTTCTACGCTTTTTATTTTCCACTTGGTCATGCACTTGTTTCATACTAGATGACATGATCTTATGTATCAGTCACTCATTGGTGTTGATATCCTGAATGTATATTATCAGTGTGGGTGTACATCATAATATTATGGTATGTGTAAATAATAGGTGTGCATTCTCTTCACTTTTGGTGTGTGTACACATTGTAAGTGTGCAATGTCGTTTGAGTTATAGTTGTGTGTATATACTAAGGGTTGATAAATTAGTTAATTTATTTAACTACTTCGTGCTAACACGTTGTTTCTGAGCTATTGTTCTATTTGGTGCAATTATAACTAAGGTAAGTCTCTTTGTTATAAACCAGAAGCTTTCAACAATGTCAGTTGATGAGATTGACAAATTTGTAGTTCTGTGAATTTTTGTGTCTGCTCTGCTGACTTTCTCAAATGGTTCTATGTGGCTTGTTTATCACCTAAGGATGTCTCTCAAATACTTTGGAGATTTATTATTTGGTTGTTAAAGGCGTACGTGAGTAAATAGTTTGTATTGAATGTATCGGCCCCATTCCTACTTTAAGTACTACTGTACTTAAGATAAATGCTAGTTTGTTGTAAATAAAGATCCAAGTGTATTCTGTAACGACTCATGAATTGACTGTTTACATAAATGCTGGTTTGTTGTAAATAAAGATCCAAGTGTTTGTTGTAAATAAAGATCCAAGTGTATTCTGTAATGACTCGTGAATTGACTGTTTACATAAATGCTGGTTTGTTGTAAATAAAGATCCAAGTGTCAATTCATGAGTCGTTACAGAATACTGCTTATATAAATGCTGGTTTGTTGTAAGTAAAGATCCTAGTGTATTCTGTAACAACTCATGAATTGACTGTTTACATAAATGCTGGTTTGTTGTAAATAAAGATCCATGTGTATTCTGCAACGACTCATGAATTGACTGTTTATGTAAATGATGGTTTGTTGTAAATAGTACTTTATTTTCTCTTGTTAATGTATCATTTAATGACTAATGTGATACATGAATAATGGACTAATGTAACAAATCTGTTGTCTGAAATTTACTAAACATTCATAATAACGGTCTCCTAAATTTAAAATGTCATGAAAGTTTGACAGAATGTTTAAATTTAATCTTCTTTTGTTGCTAACAGAAACCATAAGATGATGTTTGAATAGTAGTTAAATACCACTCACGTTGAAAATTCAAGCTTTTGATTTGTATAATGCTTCTTACTTCAATTTCTTTAATTAAAAAACACACAAACCACCAAGACTTGTATATGACAGCTGTATTACTTCAGTAAAATGTACTGAATACCTTGTGTACGTGTTCTTCCATGTATTGAAGTAGACTATTATATAGTGAAGGAGGTTATGTGGTGAACAGCTGTATTACTTCAATAAAATGTACTGAATACCTTGTGTACGTGTTCTTCCATGTATTGAAGTAGACTATT